CCGACGTACCGGATGAGTCCACTTAATCCCTACCGGCGTCCCAGACAGGTCCACTTATACCTCACCGGCGAACTGGATGAGTCCACTTGCATACTTAAATTATTTCTAAATCTCTTTAAACATTCGAAAGCAGCAATATCATGTACTCAACATATCACTGAAATCATTAATATGAATTTCACTTAAACCATTAATAACAGTCACTCTATATAACATTTCAAAAATAACCAATCAAATATTTTGGGCTTTGTAAATGCATTCTAGCATAATTGCCAATTTAATATGTATAGAAAAACTCTTATAAAAATTCAAGAATACGGAATTATCACAATTTATGGGATATCAATCCACAAATAAACATTTCACAACAATACTATAATCAATTGCAAAAATGTCAATTTTTTTAAATAATAAGGCAGTCATTTGCACATGAATTTTACAATCTCTAAATATTCAAAACAGTAGAAAGAAATATCACAATTTTACTAAAAGCAAAAATATCACATTTATTTCTAACAATAAACAAGAAAAATAAATAAATTTATTTTTCTAATTTACAGCATTCAAAATTTCTAACATAGATAAAATATCACAATTTTTATCAAAAAGATTATTTTTCAAGATAATGAGGTCACGTGCGCATAAAATTTATCACGCCTAAAATTCATGATAATAAGCAGAAATAATTATTTCATTTTATTTTTAAAAAGAATGGATTATTTTTCGAGACCATGAGGTCACTTACACATAAAACTGATAAAATAAAGATCCTAGACGAAAATATCACTATTTATTACAAATAAACTATTTTTCGGGAAGACGATGTCACTTACCCACAAATGTTTGAGAGGGAGCTTCCGATAAAAATTCGGTTCGAGTGAGGAGTTCACTGTGTTTCGACCAGAGAGAGAGATCTCAAAATTTTTTAGGGTGGGAGTGCTCACCTCCCTTATTTAAATTCTTATAACGTATTATTAGAATATTTTATTACACTCTACCTCATACCTGAGGTGTCGCGTTAAGCGTCTACTTTTAACATACGAAAACCACGTCCGCTAAAGGACGTTGCCAGTTGCAAGCAGCAACTGCAAAGGCTGCAAACAAAAGCAGCAGCAAAAGTTTAAACAAAGTAAAAATTTTTGAAAATAGTGATGGTCCCCAAGGACCATCATACTCAATCAGACCATCACCTATTTAAAAGCATATTTTCTCCTTTTTCTTTGTTTTTTTTTTTTTTTTTTGAAATTTTTTAGAATTGTTACACTTGCACTTGTATATTTGAATATCCAAGTAGCTAAAAAAACATGGGACTGTAGCAGCTCCCATTCAATTATTGCATACAAAACATATACATTCTTAGCATTCTTATGTAATAAGTAATTCAATACCCATTAGTTTCACAATATGTAAAACTTTCATGAACCATAAAGATTCAACAACACTAGTCATCTTGGTAGTAAATCCATAAAAACTACTAATCAACACAACATGTGTCAAGGAAGCCTAGCAAGAT